TTTCAAGGAGTCCCACCTTTCCTCCTCCCTCCTCATCGCCCATCACCGCGCCAGAAGCCCTACTCCCACCACACACGCCGCATCCCCCCGCGCAGGAGTTCGTCCTGAACCCGCTCATGCGTGTGTTACCACTCAGGTGCTTCTGCTCCGAAAAACGAGGAGGATGCTGACTCACCACTAATCAAGACAGTGCCAGTTCAAGGGGAACTAAAAAAGTTACCTGGACGGCTAAATCGACATCTTCCTTACCGCCTTCTTCTACGTCAGCAATTTTTTGTCCATTTGCCGGACAAATTGTGGGGAATTTTTTCTTTCGAACCGAACTCTTCCATTCGTTGTTGATAAAAATCTAGAAAAGAAAAACAAACAGTTCAATTTTTAAAGTGCACTTCTTGAAAACTTATAGTTCAAAATACGTAAAAGATGGATGGGTTTGCTTACCTTTGTATACACGGGCTGCTCCTCCCATACTGGCGCTGGCGCTGGAATCGCGGATGCTGCCGATGCCGCTGACGCAAATTGACGTTTCAGGAAACAGCTTGTAAGTAGGCTTGTGAAATTTGTTGAATTTTTCAACATATTTTCCAAGATAATGCTCGAGTCAAAATAATCCTGAAATTAATTAGCAAAAATTTAACTACTGGCAAGCTGACAATGCCGCACGAACTTTCATGAAAGAAGGGGTTATCGACAGCCTTGCGAGCGTGTGGTTGCTATTAGCATCTGCTACCACTCGTGCTACTTCCCGAGTTCTTTCGGCTTACAAAGACAATAAAACAGGGCAAGAAGTTTCACTCCTGACTGATAGTATTACGTATCTCAGTAGTGATAACTGACAAAGCCATTCACTAAGAGCTGTAACCGTCACAGATTCTCGAAAAAAATGATGAGTCCACTTTCCATGGCGACGATAAAAAAAAACCTCTGTAGTTTACAAAAAAATACTATAGTTACAAAAAAAAAATTGAAAAAAAAACCGAAAAAATAAGAACCGAAAAAAATATCATGACCAGAAACCGATAGTAGTGATAGTACTGATAACTGACCGCTAACGAGACGACTTGTCTCAATTTAGGCAACAATGCGAGATGTGGACTCCAGACCTATATATCCCCAAAAACCGAGACAAACAGCGAGCCCGAAAACAACCGATTTCCAGTTAGATTTTCCAGGATTATCAGTTGAAATCCGGAAAATTTTACGGAAAAATTTTAAAAATCAGAAAGGAAATTTCAGGAAGTTAAAAACTTACATAAAAAAATGGGAGAAAAACTGGAAAATGAAGTGCTAGCAGTGTTTGCTTTTTTTATGAACGAGTGCTACTGAAAAAAATGATGTGAACTTCGATACTTTAGTGCACTTTATGTAAACAAAGAGAATTGATCGATACTGGCCACTGGTGCCCTATAGGACTAAAAGTTTAAACCCCAAAAATCAATTCTAACAATTCTAATTTTTAAAATCAGTCCTATATCCTAATTCTTTTCAAAAAAAAAAAAAATATTTCAGTTCTTTAAAACACTGACAAAAATAAAATGCCAGTGCAAAACAAATCCCTCTACGATTCGTTCATTCCTTAGCTGGCAAATTAGATATCAGAGAGTCCAGGTCTGCTGCCAGTTTGCTTCTAAGTTATTTTCGAAAGAGGAAGCCATCGATAGCCTTAAGACGAGCCAATAACATACAAGCTGAGCACAGATTTGTTTAACTCCAGCTGATACCGCAGCGCCTACTTGAAAATTCTTTTGAGGAGGAAAACCAGGCTTTCAGCGAGCAGCTATTCTAGGTATTCCAGGATTTAAGGAAGCCGTCTGGATGACTCAAGTCACTGCAATACTTTCTGCTTGTACCATTCAAACGGAAATGTATGTCATCAGGAATGACTCAACTTCAACTAGCATAACATTTTTGCTGGATGAGTCAGGGAGACAAAATGTATGTACTCAAGAACAATTTAATTAGCCGTAGTACAAAAAAACCAACCAATTTCATTCGCAGGCTTCTTTATAGAAACATGCAGGACTGCTGTGTGTCCAAAAATCTATAAGACAGAACCAAAAAAAAAAAAAAAAAATTTAAACGAAATGCTAAAAACTTAAAAGTATCGAATGCTTTTTCGTAATCAACGACTGAGAGAGAGAGAAAAGAAGCTGATAGTATCTTATGCGCTTCAGCAGACGGTTTAGAGTGAAAATGTGATCCATTATATATTACAGTTTCATTGATTTCTGTTAAATATCAGGAAATCCAAAAAGACAAACACAATCAATTGTACTACTCTCTCTTCTCCTTCCCTCCCTCCCCCCCTCCGCCCCTGCCCCGGAAGATAACACAGACTAACAGTAACTATCTTCGAGAAAAAGTCGTAATGGCTCCGTCTTTGCTTAGAAGCTAGCCGACGGTGAGTATTGATAAGGCTATCAAAAGTGTCGCAATTGGAGTTTTACGAAATTGGTTATCACGTTACCAACCGTCTTAACTTTTACACCCATAACAAAAAATCCGGATTCTGCTCATCACTCCCCCATCTCTCTCCGTTCGTATAGCAAACTGGTTCGCAACAGCGCAAGATGATAACTATAACTGGTTTATTTGCACTGGTATTACTAATAACTCAGAATGCTGCTGACCCAGTCATAGGTGGATTCAGGATGGACTCCTGAGCAGAGCAAGGAGGAGGGAGGATGGGGGGTGCAAGGAGAGTCCCCTCCCACTCTTGAACTATGCAAAAACTAGGAATAAGTTGTAGCACTGCTACTTAGACAACTACTTTAGTTTTTATGAATAGACCCGGGCTTATGCAGCAGTAGTGCCTGCGCCGCTGGGGGAAAAGGGAACAAAGACCCTTCGTCCCCCAGATCCGCCTATCAGTCATAAAGTAGTGTTTGTCGAGGCAAATTCCCCCTCCTCCCTCCCTCATCCACCTGTCCCGTTTTCCACTCATGTACTTTAGTTCATGTATTTTTTTTTTGGGTAAACCTGCTTGAAAACACTCTTTATCGAAACCTATTAAGCAACGCGATAAGTGAAGATTTATTTGAGCCGAGCTCAAATCATAAGCCACACAAAACACCGTATTCCTAGGCTTACAAATTCCAAGAGTACAAAAATTTCATAAAAATCTAAAAAAAATATCATATATGAGAAAGAACAAGAGAGCAATGAAAGAGTAGCTGTTCAAAACGTTATAATGGAGGCGCATGGCAAAAAATTCAGGATATATGTGCAGCGCAAAATATATCCAGGATTTATCAGTTTTTTAAAATATGTGGAAATAATGCATAGAAAACGAAACGAGATCCGTACCTATTGCTGCTACATGGATCACATATTTATTCATAAACAGAGCGGATAAATTGCTGGCATATGCGATAAGTAAGATAATAATACTGTGCTCGGTATAGATGAGGTATACAGAATGGCAGTCAAGAAAATTGAAGGAAAAAACGAAAAGTACAAATTTTAAGGTTGATTGTAAGCAACTCTCGAAAGAGGGAGTCATCGAATTACTCCTCACTTCCTGGTTACTTCCGAGTGCTTCCGCCTCTCAAAAAGAGTGAATGCGGAGGAGGTTTTGATATTTTGACTTGGATAATAGAAGGATAACTCTCATGAACAAAAAATGCATTATACTGTTCAGCTTACGCATCAATGCTTAGCAATGAACCTGAGTGCTGGCATGCGCCTAAGCATCGATCTCAGGCTACAGAAAAATTTTAAAGCTGGTCCCGCGTTTACTCCCTTTCCTCCCTCCACCTCTCGCCTACACTTTCTCCCCGCCAAAAGATCTAGCTTAGATTTCGAGTAAAGCTCTTCCCCTCAACAAGTTTCAGTATGCCTCTAAGCTTATAGATTACATTACAGCAAACCCCTACCCAGATACCAAACAGAATATCTGGACTGTCTGATGGTGACAGATTTTTCTAAGCCAACAGTAAAGAAAATCAAAAGTCAAAATCCCTTTCGCATTTGCAAGGACAGACGGAAACACTCGGGAAGTAGCTCCAGTGATAAGTACCCTTTGAAGAAGAGGCCACTGACAAACTTGCCAATGGATGTTGGCATTTGCTACCACTCGGACTACTTCCGAACGCTTTCACTACAAAAAGTGAATGTGTTTTGCTCATCAGAATTGAATTCCCAGTTCAATTTCACTTATAGAAACCATCAATCTGTAGAGTACGAAAGAGTTCACTTTCAGTACTTAGCTCGCTTTGTGTTTCTTTTCTTTTTCTCGCAATATTCTTGTAGCCGCTGGACTCACCCACACAAGTGGAAAAAAAATTCGACAAATTTGACTGTCCATGAAAGATAGACGCATTTGAAAGCGGCTCAAGGAGTACCACTTAGCAACAACCATCGGCTGACAAGTCTATTAACTCACTAATATGTATAAAGTTAAGTAGGTGATACTACATAACTGCACAAAAATCAAGCAACACGAATAAAAGCAACATGAGCTTAACTGTGATCCGAAAAGAACTGGTGAAAATGTGAGCAGATACAAACCATCACATGTGAAGCATATAAAAGTAACAGCTTATCATCGTCCAAAATTAAAATCAAAGTATGAAATTCGATGATTCAACCAACGCATAAAAAGTGAAGTAAAACTCGTGGATGCATGATAATCGGTGAGTAAAGAGTGAATAAGTATTGAGTAGCGAGTAAACTGAGAGCATAAGTAAACGAGTAACTGAAAAATGAGCGAAATGAATTCTAAAATGAAAAAAAAGACGTATCAGCGACGAGTAAAATCTGAAAATGAGATATATGATGAGCAGATGACTAATTTAGCACATAATGTATATGTTGTAGAAATTCTTTGGTGCTAGAGATAAGTATAAACTGTTCTGGGAACAATCCAAGGGGAATATAACCCTTATTCGTAATTCGCTAAAAGTAATTTTCAGGCTTTAGACAAACAGATTTCCCGAATCCTTAAGATCGCATCACTTTTCTGTCAGACAGAGTCTCTCAAAGCTTAATTAATCCCATGACAGTCCAGAGATCAGCGAATATTCATTCAGTTTTATCCACAGATTTACCTAAACAGTAGCGACCGGGGAAAGGGGAATGGGGAGAGAAAAGGATTGGGCGTGAGAGGAGGGAAGTTTTACGTGAAGCCACCAACGCTTACACCGCATATGTACAAACATTGTGAGGTAATGTAGTATTGACGACTCGCCACGTGCTGTAAAAATTACCGTAAATTCACGCAAGTTAAGCCATCGCCTATGTTTTATCACTTTTTCATCGTCTACATTCTTTCTAGGCTTATCGCGTTTTCATCATCATATCTTTCACTTTCTAAGCTTTCGTTTGGTTCTAAATTTATGTGTCTGAGAGTTTTTGCAGGCCGCTAAAAATTAGAGTGCAATTAAGACTGGATATTCAACATAGCAAAGATGAAAAGTAAACAGATTCAGCGCCTAACATCAAGATCTCGCAACGAAAGAAAAAGGTAAGAACCAAAGAAGCAGCAAAGGAGGAACCAAACAAAAGAGCGCAGTTTCACTGCAATACGTAGAAATATGCAAATAAGTAGAAGACAAGTACCTAGAAGAAGATAAGTACAT